AGCTACTTATCATCATTTGATCTTTGACAAACCTATCAAAAACACTCAGCGAGGGAAAGACTCCATATTTAACAAATGGTGCTGGATGAACCAGCTGGCAACCTGCAGAAGACTGAAACTGGACCCCCACCTTTCACCATTAATAAAAACTGATTCTCACTGGATAAAAGATTTAAACTTAAGACATGAAACTATAAAAATACTAGAAGAGAGTACAGGGAAAACACTTGAAGAAATCAGCCTGGGAGAATATTTTATGAGGAGGACCCCCCTGGCAATTGAAGCAACACCAAAAATACATTACTGGGATCTGATCAAACTAAAAAGCTTTTGCATAACCAAAAGCACAGTAAGTAAAGCAAACAGACAACCTTCAGAATGAGCGAAGATTTTTGCAGGTTATGCTTCCAACAAAGGACTGATAACTAGAATCCACAGAGAACTCAAACTAATCAATAAGAAAAAAACAAATAACCCCATTTCTCTCTCTTTTTTTTTTTTTTTTTTTTGCAGTTTTGGCCAGGGCTGGGCTTGAACCTGCCACTCCTGGTATATGGGGCCGGCGCCCTACTCCTTGAGCCATAAGTGCTGCCCCAAATAACCCCATTTCTATGTTAACAAGAGACTTGAACAGAAGCTTCTCTAATGAAGACAGGCGCATGGCCTACAAACACATGAAAAAGTACTTATCATCCTAAATCATCAGAGAAATGCAAATTAGAACCACTTTGAGATATCATCTAACTCTGGTAAGATTAACCCACATCATAAAATCCTAAAACTACAGATGTTGGTGTGGATGCGATAGAAGGGAACACTTCTACACTGCTGGTGAGAAGGTAAGCTAATATGACCTTTTTGGAAAGAAGTTTGGAGAAGACTCAAGGAACTATAAAAGTAGACCTACCATTCAATACTGCAATTCCTCTACTAGGTATATACCCAGATGATAAAAATCATTTTACAACAAAGACATTTGCACCAGAATGTTTACTGCAGCCCAATTCATAATAGCCAAGACATGGAAACAGCCCAAGTGCCCATCAACCCATGAATGGATTAACATATTGTGGTATATGTACACCATGGAATACTATGCAGCTATAAAAAGATGGAGACTTTACATCTTTTATGTTTCCCTGTATGGAGCTGGAACATACTCTTCTTAGTAAAGTATCTCAAGAATGGGGAAAAAAAGTATCCAAAGTATTCAATACTACTATGAAATCAACATATAATCACCTACACATTCATATGAATAGTAAAACATAACTATAGTCCAGAAAGTAGACGAGAAGAGGGGGAGGAGGGAAAGTATTTGGGGGGATCTCACCTAATGTGCATGATGCAATGAATGGTACATTTCAAAACTATTAAGAAAAGAGTATAATTGTGATAAATGTGTTACTTAGTTCAATGTAAGCACTTCACATTGTATATCAAATCAGTATACTGAACCCCATAAATGCATCAATGTACACAGTTATGATTTAATTTTAAAAAATTGATTAAATGTACAAGTTTGAACACAGCCAAGGAAGGAATCAATAAAATGAACAAACAACCTACAGGAAGGGATAAAGTATCTGCATGTTATATATCCAATAACGGGCCAGAATCTACAAAGAACTCAAATTACCAAGGAAAAAAAATCACTTAGTCCCATAAAAACCTAAGCAAAAGATATAAAAACAGAAGCTTTTCTTCCCCCCCACCATTTCTATTAATCAAATTGGTTGGAGAATATACTGAGTATCTTTTTGTCCGTTAGTTACAGTGAAACAAAGGTGGTAATTCATCTATCCCAATTTGCAATCTCCCAAATCAGTTTGTAATTTCACAAACTTATCTCCTTATTTTGCTTTTAGGCCACCTCTTTAAATCATTTACTTTAGGCTGGCTCAACTTTCTAGTCTTATAAGTTACTGTTGTTGTTGTTTTCCCCAAAAGACAGAGTCTTGCTCTGCCGCCAGGCTGGAGTGTAATGGCACAGTCAGAGCTCACGTCAATCTTGAACTCCTGGGCCAGAGCAATCCTCTTGCTTTAGCCAAGATGAGTCACTAGGACTACAGGTATGCGCCACCACAGGCAGCTAAATTTTTTATGGAGATGGGGGTCTCACCATGTTGCTCAGGCTGGTCTTAAAGTCTTGGCCTCAAGCAATGTTCCCACCATAGCCTCCCAAAGTGCTAGGATTATAGTCAAGAATCACCATGCTCCGCCACTACTGCTGGCTTTTGAACAAGTTTGTTGGAGTTATTTTTCCCCCATCTTACTGTGTTTACTTGAACTGGTTCTCTGTTTCCTATTTGTTACATTACTATGTTTTGTAGCTATCATTTATTCTGCTGATTATTTGTCCTTTAAATTTTGTCCTTCAGTTGGAAAATGTAAGCTAGCCAGCTCCAGTGAAAAAGATCATCAAGAATAAGAAAAGATTTGGGAAATTATTTTTTAAATAATGAAATGTGAAAACTGGTTAACATTTCCAGTAGAAAATGTCTGAACATACTTTCATAGGCTTCAATAAGCAAGATAAATGTTACCAAATCTTGATTAAGAAGCATAACACTGCTACAGTACATGTGACAATGCAGTAACAACACACAAGACTGCCAGTAAGCAAGCAGAAGAAAATGATATTTTATACAGGCATCTCAAGATCTCAAGTTTAAGAACACAAATGAGCCTAATTACAGAGGATGGCTGGCATATTTTGACAGTTGTGGCTATTATCACATTGTCACATTATAAATTTCACTGTGTTCCCTGCCATAAATTGTATGCTGCTTTTCAATCATCATGCATGACGGACTTAAAAAAAAAAAAGGACACCAATGAAATAAGGGAACATAACATTTTAAACGTGGAGGAAAATTATTCTTAAATTAGAATTTTAAATATATTAATATGGTATAGAACCTTAAAGATCCTATTGTGATTAAAAGAATCATTTCCATCCCTAAGCATATTTGTGCCCACTTGACCTGTGTCACCTATGTCACATATATCCATATGCAAGTAGCATGACAGGCCCTTACAGACTTTTAGTTGGTGAAACAGACCCACAAGAAAGGTACCTAAAGCTAAGTGGAGTCTTGACTCAAAATCCAGCTTTCTCTACTTCTAATAAATATTTCTAAGCACAATAAATGGAAAAATAATAATTCTGAAAATATGAAAGACTTCCTTTTCATAGAAAAAAAATAGAGGATTCTATCCAAGCCATTTTCCTGTATTTAAAAAATAATAATCATCAGTCTCACGGCTGATAGTTTAATCTAAGAACTCTACAAATTAACTGCTATCTGGAGATGTCTCTAAAGCACTGATTAAAAATGTCTGCAACAAATATATACTTTAGGAAATTAGCAACCTATAATTTTCTTCATTGGTATCTTCCCTACTGGCCACAAACTCAACATCTTGGGGCTTATTAGCCCAAAGTTACTTTACACAAAATTTTGATGTATAAAATCCTGTCAACTGAAGAAGAAATTTATTTATTCTCTAATACTATTACAGATTATTCCAACCCAGAACTCTTTCTCCTAGCTGATACTGCCATGCTTTGAATGTTTGTGTCCCCCTAAATTCTTATGTTGAAATTCTGACCCCAAATGGGATATATTTGGAAATGGGGCCTTTGGAGGTAATTAGGCCATGAAGGTGGAATCCTCTGAATGGGCTTACTGCCCTTATAAGAAAAGAACTGCCTGCCACGTGAAAATACAACCAGTAAGTGGGCCCTTACCAGATACCTGATTTGCTGGCAACTTGACCTTAAGACTTCCAAGCCTCTAGAACTATATGAGATAAATGTTTAAACCACAACCTATAATAACTTGTTACAGCAGCCTGAACTAAGACAGATCTCTAAGCATAATAACCAAAGGGAAGAACATTCTCAAACCTTATGATTATCATTATGATATAGCAAAATTCCTGAGTACTTCCTGTGACTACCTGATTAAGATAAATTGAGTTCAGTAAGGAATTCCATGAGGTCTTGGTGTATGTCTATATAAAAACTGGCTAGAGTAGATCTAAAATATTTTTATGCCAATAGCTACCCCTAAAATTATCCATTCTAAACTCGAAAATAATGCTTTTACAAAACAACAAAGACTTTCCAAGGCAGTAGAGGAAAAAGAGGTATCCAAAAATAAAGATTTGATATCCTAAAAGAACATGAAAACCTCTTTACCTCCAAGCAGGTAATTTAAGCTATTCTCCAACCTTCTTTTGCTTCTGATAAAGGATTTATTTTGCATGAAATCTTCTGATCTTTCTTCTTTTGTCTTGTATTATAAATGGGAAGTTGCCAATCAATACAAGAGTATACAAACACACACTCTATATATGTATAAACAGGCATGCACACCAAGAACCTCTTAACCAAGAACTAATAATTTAAAACAGAGAAATTAGGATGAAAATTAGAAGCCAACCATAACTGTGAAACAGAAGTAATGCAAGAAAGAACCGGAGGAGAGGCTCTTTAACCCATCTTCTCCAAAGTCTTTTTTTCTAAAATATGGGAGAATTTTGAGAACACAATTAGGGAACGAGAGGATATATTTCATTTATCTAGTATTATCTGAGAAGATTTTAAGGATGACTAATTAGGGAAGAATACAGCACTTAGCAACTAACTTACATAATTTAATTTGGGGGTCAGGCAGGTCTACACACTTAGAGTAATTAGAGTTCAAATGATATGTTTACTTCTACTGCCTAGTAATTATGGTCACTGAAAGATATACTCTGCTGTAGAACATAAATTAATAGAGAAGGCTCACAAATGAGGTTTGGATTATATAGAATAATATGGGTCTTCAAAAAGAATACAATTCCTGATTTCAGAACTGTCAAAAAACTCTTTGAAAGCAAAAAGGGACATTAGAAGGCTTTAACAAAATCAGAAAATATAACATAAAATTACAATACAAATAAAACCATGTTGGAAGAAATACAAAAGAGAAGTTGTACAATCTAACCTTTTCACCTCAAATCAGTTCCTCCTTTTTCCTGCCACTCCAACATTGATGAAATGTAGAGTAATTGAAATTTACTCTGGAGACACACCAAGGGACTCCAAAAGGCCATGGAGGCAATTTCAACTAAAATTGAAAAGCCATACAGAGGTCTGCAAAGAAAAGCACAACACAAAAACCTTTAAGTCAAACACTTAATTAGCATCTACAGGTGTAATAAACTAATAACTTATGCCAGTCTTTTTTTTTTTTTTTTTGAGACAGAGTCTCACTATGTCGCCCTCAGTAGAGTGCTATGGCATCACAGCTCACAGCAACTCAAACTCTTGGGCTTAGGCGATTCTCTTGCCTCAGCCTCCCAAGTAGCTGAGACTACAGGCACCCAGCCCAACACCCAGCTATTTTTTGGGGGGAGAGGGGGGTAGTTGTCATTGTTGTTTAGCAGGCCAGGGCAGGGTTCGAATCTGCCAGCTCCAGTGTATATGGCTAGCACCCTAACCACTAAGCTATGGGCATGGAGCCTTGTGCCAGTCTTATTAACCATTAACTGAAAAGAAAACCAAGCTGATGTAATCAAAGAACAAAGCAATAGTTTTTCACTTCAGCAAAGTCACCAAAGGTATGACTTTTACTTCACCAGTGGACTTTTTTCCTTTTTTTCTGAGACAGAGTCTCAAGCTATCGCCCTGGGACTATGGTGTCAGAGCTCACAGCAACCTCAAACTCTTGGGCTTAAGTGATTCTCTTGCCTCAGTCTCCCAAGTGGCTGGGACTA